TAAATATTCTAGTAGGTGAAACTGAGAAAACTGACTCTAGCCAGGTCAGATGTTTGATTATAGGAAGTGTTCTAAAGTTGTGGAACATTGCCTGTTTGCAAATGTGCAAGGGTACCTTTGGCCAGATTTCAGAGAATTCTTTAGGGTATTTAAAAATGATTAGAATAATTAAATTTGAGATAGCAGATTAAATAAATATCCCTTTTGAAGAGGAAGTCAGTTTGCAGTGCCTTTCTCTGCTTTTCAGTCATCTAGGCAAATATTTTTTGCTTGTATTTGTTTTGGTCCAGGGGGAGGAAGCCTGGCACATCCCCCTTGCTGTCTATAAACCTCATTGCTTTAAACATTTGTTGGTATAATGGAGGCTTTTGGAAAAATTCTCTGCATTTGTTTTGGCCTGGTTTAGATGGGCAGAATGCTTTGCATAAACCATAACATACTTGTGTGTGTGTTTCTCTGTATTCTTCTTATATCCTTTGGTGGAAACACATTTTTATTCCTGAACTTCTCATTTAAAAATTCTTGATGATGGATAAAAATAGATTGTATTAATATACACTTACAAGTTATATTACAAGTCTTAGTAAGTATCTTGCTATTTAGAATGACTATCTCTTATTAGGGAACTAGGAAATTGTAAGCCTAAGCATTAGAGTCCTCCCGGATTTGTTTTTTCTGTTACAGCACGGCTGTCAAAAAGACTCCAGCACTGCTGAGAGCTCAGGACTTTTTCCTCAGGCTCTAATTAATTCCCTACAGGGCTCTTTATATGTGGTCAGCTGCAGGGAGAGAGATTACCTGGAGATCATCTTGCCTGTCCATGGCTGACTGGCCTTCCTTGATTCCATTTATCCTGACTCCAGGGTATTTGTGGGGAAGATCAGGGCACCACAGCTTTTTGCTGGGCTTTAGAAACCTTAATTATCTCTGGGAACCTAGAGACAGAAAAGATGAAAACTTAGCTTATAGGCCCAGTTCTCCCAATGAGCTCTGTGAATTGACAAACAGGAGCCGCTGTAGGACCACCATCTGTGAGACGGAGGTGATGGCAACTGTCACTTGCGACCAACAGGGCTTGAGCACTTGGTATCGGCCAGGCACCTTGTGAGGACTTCACAGGTAGTTATCTGTTATTCCTCACAATGCTATTGCAAACAAGTCCTTGAGTCAGAGTTAACAGTTGTCATCTGTGTTTCAGGTGAGAAAATCAAAGCTCACAGGTTAGGAAGATCTAAGATCATATAGCTTGTGTGGTAGTAGAGCTGGGGTCTAAAACGTCTTTAACAATGCCATCTTACCTCCTCTCTCTCGGCTCTGTCTCATAGGGGTGTGAAAACAAATGAGGAAATGTATGCGTGAGAACTTTGTCAAGTACTACTCAAAGTACTAGTATTATCTTCCTAAGATACTAGTAATAATTAGGATAAAATAGTGTCTGGTTACTTGTTGGAGAGGCCTAGGGAACCTTTGTTTTCACAACACACAAATTAATGATTGGGTGGGAACTGACTGTTTTTCTTTCACTGCCCATGAATTTTAGTGGGCGAGTCCCAAGTGTGCATCATCCACCTTTTGGAGTCCTGCTCAGGCGAGTGTGCAGGCCTCCTGGAGAACCCACGCAAGGGCGTGGGTGGGAGGCTTCCCAGGATGTAAGGCCCTCAGGGACCAGCTACTGAGACTGTTCCTGATTCCTGTGAGTTGCATAGATTAGTGTGATGCCTTTGCTGGGCTGGCAAGGAAATCTTATATTCAAGAACCAGAAAGGGAGTTGTGGAAAGAACAAACCCAAGCAAAGACATAACCATGTAAGGTCAAAAACACAGATTAAAAAGAAGATGACCATATTTTAGTGCTTAGAAACAAAATGTTCAGGGAAAGGCAAATTGTTGGCAGACAGATTTGCTATGAAAGTCTTTTTAAATAGTGAAAGCCCTACAAATAGAGCATAATCCCAGCATCTGTGTGTATTTTGAATTTAGACAATTACAGTCTGACGAATTGAGAATCTGTTTTAAACATGGGAGGGTAGGGCCCTTGGAAGAGTAAAAGGAGCTTTTTTTTTGAAGGACTCCCTAGGTTGTATTTCTCTTTCACGTTCCCAGGTTATGGTGCAGTGCTTGGCATAGAAGATTTTCACTGAGTGATTGCTGAATTTGCTTTGTTGAAATCGGACCTCATGTTCTTTGCTCTGCAACAGAGCACGTTAACAGCTTTCACTGAAACCAGGGCTGCTGGAGAAATCTCTGGGGGCATCAGAAGCATAGAGGCTGTTGAGCTGCTCCATCAGAGATTCTGGTGGGCTCAGCATGGCTTTGCTTTGAACTTTACTTCGTTAGCTGGAGAGCCAGTTTGTGGATAACTATACTATTCTGATTCCTTGGGAGAACTGGAGAAATTTCTGTTAGAATAAGTGGCTAGTCAAATTTATAAAGTACAATCCAAGAAATGCATTTCATTTCTTTAAAGTATTTTCAGTAATTTGTGACAGATTATCAGAATATTGTTAGAGAAAAATCCTCTTGAAGACTGCTTTACTGAGTAAATTAGCTTATTAAGTGTTTGTAAATGAGTGCTTCTAATGTGTCTAAGCTTATGATGTTAAGAAATAAAGATATTTCTTTTAGCAATCTTATTAATATGGTGTTTTATAAATACCCCTTCCCTTTTCTCTATATGTAGTATGAAGATAAACTTCAGCTCAGTCACTGACATTTCTATTTTTGGATAAGTGTTATTATTAATTAATGAGATTATATTTGTGTGATTTTTTTTTCAAGTGTGTAATTGGATGTTTTATAACCATCTACTTCTGCTTTTTTAGTTTTATAATGTATATTGAGGTGTTATAATTTCTAGACATTATAATGTCACATCAGTGCCATCCTTTGTATATTTAAATTTCTCACATATTCCCATTTTAGTTGTTTATTTAGCTTTTTATAATTCTTATTTTCAACCTATTGAAATTTAAATGGAATATGCTAAACTGCACATATTTAAAGTGTACAGTTTTGGTCAGTTTTGACATATGTTTGAAACCATCACCACAATCAAGACAGCAAATATTTTCATCATACTCAGAAGTTTCCTTGTGCTCCTTTGTAATCTGTCTCTCTGCCATTCCCACTTCTCCAGGTAACCACTGTTCACTTTCTATCATCATAGATTAGTTTGTTTTCTAGAATTTTCTAGAATTTTATGTAACTAATCGTATAGTGTACACTCTTTTTAGTCTGGCTTCTTTCACTTAACGTAATGATTTTGATATTTTTCTACATTATTGCATGTATCAAAGATATTTTCCTTTTTATTGTTCAGTAGTAAGTACTCCTTTGTATAGATATACCATAACTTATTTATCCATCCACCTCTTGGTGGACATTTGTTTTTCCCTCAGTTTTTAGTAACTTTCTAAATAAAGTTGCTATAAACATTCATGTACAAGTCTTTGTAGGAACATATATTTTCTTTTCTCTTAAATACCTAGAAGTGGAATGGCTGGATCATATGATATGTGTAGGTTTAGCTTTTTAAGAAACTGCCAAGCTGGTTTTTTTAATCATTGTAGCATTTATCCACCAGCATTGTATGAGAGTTCCAGCTGCTTCACATCCTTACCAACAATTGGTATGGTCAGTATGGGATTATAGAGAAAGTATTTTTATGTTTTTGTATGGTTAGTAATTTCTGAACAAATTTCTTCAGGATCTCGGTTAAAAGATAAGTCTTGGAGTTAGTAAGAGATATACCTCCTCAGAGGAATGTGGTTATGTGCCAGGGAATAATGAAGCTCAGGACCATCGAGATATTCCAGGGCTTAGAACCCAGAGAGGCTTTTTATCTCCCCTTTGGAGACATTTATTTACATACATGGGTGTTAGACATGCAGCCATTTGTCTCCTTCGTGGTGAGCTGTTTGCTCCCATCCAAAGGTTAATAAAAGTCATATACTTTTATTTCCCAAAGAAAATGTTTGACACTAAGAAAGCAAATGTTTATCTCCCTCTCTTAGGAGGTTAAGGAGGACCCCTGCCTCTCTTCTGTATAAACTCCTACATTCACAATTTTAGTGTTCTTCACCTATGCTATAAATCCCTGTATGTACAGGATGACATCTGGCTCTCATCATATTGCCCAGGAGGAAGAAGCAGGCTAAAAAGAGAACCAATATGGTTATTGCTCTGGGTTAGTAATGATCTGTCTCTGCTCTAGGAAATCTTGTGTTAACATTTAGAAAAATGTGAATAAATGTAGATGTTAAAGGCTTAAGAGTAGTTTTTTAAAAAGTTGTTAAAACATTCTGATTACCATGGTATTGTATTGTGGTTTTATTTTATATTTTCCCAATGACTAATGATGTTGACATCTCTTCATGTACTTATTAGATATTTGTATATCTTCCTTTGTGAAGTGCATTGTCTTTTGAGCATTTTGAAGCTGGATTGTCTCCTTATAATTGAGCTGTTAGTGTTATTTGCTGTATTTCAGATACAAGTTCTTTGTGTATGTGTGTTGTGAATATTTTCTCACATTCTGTGGTTTGCTTTTTTTTCTTAACAGTATCTTTTGAAGAGCAAACGTTTTTGAATTTAATAAAGTCCAATTTATCAGTTTTTTTCTTTTATAGTTCATGGTTTTATATTTTTTCAAGAAACTGTTGCATACCCCAAGATTTCAGAAATGTTCTTTTATGTTTCTTATATGTATCTTATAGTTTTAGTTGTTACATTTAGGCCTGTGATCCATTTGGAGATAATTTTTGAATATAGTGTGGAGTAAGGGTTATTTCTACTTTGATGGACTGTGTTTCCGTTTTCTTAGGTTGTCTCTCAAGTTTGGTGATGCTGGAAATCCCAAAGGTCTTGATATAAGGTAAGTATGGATATCACTTTGGAATATCATAGGTTTAGCACTTCAGATTAACTCCATATAATTTATTAATTCAACAGGTAGGTATCAAGGGCCTGCTATGTGACAAGCACTGTGGCATGTGAAATGCCACACTTACGTAATTACACTGAAGAGTCAGTGGTGTTATGATGGGATCCTATAGTAATATTTCTTTAGTTTCAAAAATCTATACTTTATCCTTCTTCCATTAGGGACCTAGAAAACACATGAACCTAGGAATGTGATACCCTTTTCCTCTGAGCAAAGAATAACATATATTTGAAGCTCTAAAGTTGGGCTCTAGTTTGAAGTTATTTTCTATACATAGCTCCTTAAAACTGAGTCACTCGTATTATTTAACAATAATGAAAAATTCTCTATTAGCAGAGTTCCCCAGCAGACAATCAGCATAGGCCTACACTTTTCTGTGTTTATGTATGGAATAATGCATCTGCCTTTGTTGGTTTATCCAAGCAGTTAGGAACTGCTCTGGAGGTAGGGGGCAATTTGAAGGCATTAAAATTTTTTTTCTTATAAAAATGTTTCCCTTCCTGTAGGACCAACCAGTTAGTGGAGATAAGCAGCTGTGTCTTTAGCATTACTTGAAAAAGCAGCAGGATGTGCTAGAGCAGTCTTCCCTAAGCTGTGTTATGTGGAACATTTCTGCTCATGTAAATGTTTATAATATTCCCCAGAAAAGGGATCCCGTAGTCAAATGTGTTTAAGAAAGACTGCATACCTCCTCTTGGAGATTCATAGTATAAATTTGTATATTGAAGCTTCTGTGAAGACATGCCCTTAAGAGGAAGATTGCTGTACTTGGTGACTTTGATTAACTTAGCATTTCCTACATTTAACCTTGGAAAGCTCTTGCCACAGAACATTTGCCCATGTATCATGGGACACTAGTGTTTCACTGGTCATAATTTAGAATTTACATGCCATCATCTTTCAGAGGAACTTTATAAGGAAAATTAAATTCCACAAGGTAACAAAACACATACACATACCTGTTTGATATAGGAATGGGGAATATTTTTGATTCAAATAGTACTTTTTTGTTTTTTTACCAAAAGGAAAGTAACTTTATGATTATTTTTTCTGATGATAAAGCTATGCACCAGACACTGTATTCCCTTGGGCATTTTCATTTGAGAACAGTACAGTTCACCAGCCCAACTGCCAGCCTTTCTTTACCTAAAAGCTTTCTCAGGCCTAAAAGGCCCACTGCCTCCCATCCTTACCTCAGCAGCTCTCAACCAATGACTGAAAGAAGTCTATAAATATCCCAGCTCCCTCACCCTTAGGTGAGATAACTCAGAGGTGTGTGTCCTGCTTATCTCCCAGGATTCCTCATGGGCATTAAACGCCAGTTGCTCACAGTGGAAACTTGTTTAGCTGTGTCATTTTGGGCTGCCTTCTAATCCTCTGTCGTTTCTCTTCGCTCCAGTCTATGTATTTTGAATGACTAAATCCCCAAATAAATTTGGGATCGCCTCCACAGAATAATTGTATTATAATTGCATTCACATCCTTGTCTGTTTCTCTAGGAGCCCAAACTAAGACAAGGTTATACATGTCCATTGAAAATGGAAAAATCAGAAAATAATGAGCTATAAAAAGAAAATGAAAATCATTCATAATCCAACCACTATTGGTGATCACTATTAACGTTTGTTTTTCCTATTTTTACTTTTTTTATTGTGGTAAAAGTTACATAACATAAAAGTTACCATTTTAAAGTGTTCAGTTCCATAGCATTTACTACATTCACAGTGTTGTACAGTCATCACCTTTATGTAGTTCCAGAACATTTTATCTCCCCAAAAGGGAACTACATACTCATTAGCAATCACTCCGCATCCCCCTTCCCAGCCCCTGGCAGCCAACCATCTGCTTTCTATCTCTATGGATTTGCTTGTTCTGGACGTTTCATATACATGGGATCATATAACATACGACCTTTTATTTCTGAATTTTCCAGTGTATACTTTTGAAAGAGCAACTTGGAAGGGCAGAAACTGAAGTAGGCACACACCCTCCATCCACACCCCTCCATCCCTCTCCCTGTTCAATGTCAGGCACCTGTGTGATTGCTAGGGGAGCTGGCTGCTGGAGCACCCTTTGCCTGCATGTCCACCAGAGGGCCAGACATCCCCCAGTGCAGCCCTGACCAGTGGTACGAGGTGTTTCCAGATCTCCCAGCAGGACAGAGCCAAAATCTCCCTCCAGGGACTCTGCTGAGTGAATGCCTTTACTTGTTCTCCCCTCCCTCCACCCATTTCCCATCTTCCCTGCCCTGTCCTTCTGGGATTTTTCTTAAAAAAATCACTTGTCCACAAATCCTTGTCTCAGAATCTGCTCTAGGAGCCAGCCGCATGTTCAAGAGGCCCGGGCAGAGGATGTCATGTCCTCCAGGCCCATATGCATGCCTCTGCTGTCCCGAAGTGGGCCAGAGACACAGAGCCAAAGACCCCATGTGCTGGACAGCTGTTTGGCAAAACAACCTGGTTTTTTCACCAGGAATGATTTTTCAAGCAGGTCCATTGGTGCCTCAGTGCACCCGTCTCACTGAGCCTGTCGTAACTGCCTCATTCTCAGGCTGTTAATCTGAAACAGGGCTGCAGACGATGTGGCAGGCTCTCTCCCAGCCCTGAGCCCAAGGACAGTCATTTCTGGGGAATCAAGAGCCAGCCTTCCCTTTCTGGGACTGACTCATCTCTCCCACTGCTCACCCTGGAACCTCTGACTCCAGAGCTCAGACCTGAGATATCCACTCCCTTCATCCTGGCCTTCAGCATTCTTGGTGGATTGTTGCAGTGGTCAGGATTGGCCGGGCTCAACTACATCCCTGAAAACACCTTCAGTATCTGACTTAGGTGCCCAGGGTGAGCTGGGGGTGTCCAAGATAACATCGGATGTTTTATAACACCAGGCACAACACAGGGCACTCGCCATGCATGGCCCTTTTAACTTAAACAAGCATAACCCATTTTACAGATGAGGAAACCAAGGCCTAGAGAGGTTGTTTAACAACGCTTATCATAGGATTAATAAAAGCAGTATTCATGAGAACTCTTTTGGCTGCACAAAGCCGAAAGGGAACTGATTGATTAATGGGATTGAAAACAGTACCTTCAGGCTCAACTGAATCAAAGTGTTTAACCAGCCTCATCAGGGCAGCATCTTTCTTCATCTCTTGGCTCTGCTGTTCTCATGTTAACTTCATTCCTAGGCAGGCAAGACGGTGGCCAGCAACTGTGAGCTGACAGTTATCCACTTAAGAGAGCTCTCTGTTGCCTGATAGCTATAGCAGAAGCACGAGGATTGCATTTTACTGACCCAGCCTGAGGCATATGCCTCTTTCTAAGCAATCACAGTGATTAAAGGGCTGCAATACACTGATTGGCAGGACCTGTGAAACTTCACTGAGGAGGGAGAGGGTCAGCCCTGTACTCACCAAGATGCTGTTCCCAGAGGAGCAGGATCATAGCCTGGAGGTAGGCAGAGCCAGGATCAAAACCCAAGCTTTCACCCTGAGCTATACTGATCTCAGTTGCTTTTTTTTTTTAATTGAAGTATATTTAATTTACAATTATTGTGTTAGTTTCAGGTATACAGCAAAGTGAGTGATTGCTATTAACATTTTGATCTCTATCTTTCCAGAATCTTTTTCTGTGAAGTCACACATTTTTTAAATGAAAAAAAGTGATCATGACATGCATATGATAACTTTCTTATTGCTAGAGAATATTTCATTTCAAAATGGCTAAGAATATGGGCTCTGGTCTCAGATTGGGTTCTAAGCCCAGCTCAGTGTTACTCCCTGAGTAAATTTGCAGAAGTTAGTTATTTAACTCCCCTGTGGATAATAGTATTATCTATCTCATGGTGTTGTATTTGTAGTGAAGATTAAATAATATACACATAAAGAACATATAGAAAGGTGCTTGACTCATAGTCAGAGCTATTACTGTTATTTTTGACCATTATTTATTTAGCTTATTCTATGTTATTCTCCATTTAGTTTTTGTCAGTTTTTTGCAATAATAAAATTATTTTCATTCTAAAAAAGAAAATAACTCCAAACTTTATGTGTTTTTCCTTTTGTAGGAATTTCTATTGTTCACTTTTGGGGGCTGCCCTGTAATTTACTTTTATTCTCACCAATCAGGAGGCTGTTGTTCAGAACTAGGAAAGTAAAAGCCTTTCTCTGAGCCAATTCTACTACCTGACAAAAGAGGGCGCGATTGTACTGTTCGTAATCAATGTCCTGTGTCAGCAAATATAAAAGTGCTTTGGGGGGTAATAACTGTTTTAAAATCATTTTCAGATTCACCCTTACCAATTACATCCAGAGCTGGTTTAGTTTGCACCAAGTTGAGATTATTTTCAGTAATTCAGTTCAAGCATGTTTTAATGCAACTGGCATATATGCTCCGTCAAGTTACTCCTACCACTGCCAACGTGTCAGTAGCCTGCAGCGGTACTATGCCCTTTTGTTGCCCAGTGACACCAATGATATGTCAAGCCTGTGGGAGGTCACTTTTGTTGATTTCCAGGTAATAAACTAAAACATATGCTTAATGTACCTGTGTGTTTTGAGCCAAAGAAACTCAGTGTTTGTTTGAAAACAGATGTTTAAGGAGAAGAGAGGAGTGGAGATCTTTAAACTAATAGTGGTGTTTTCTCCCTTTGTCTTCTAAGGTGTGGAATAGAATAGGATCGAGTATTTCCTCTTCCTGCATAGTGACCTCCCCACCCCC